GGTCTTTGACCCCGTACCGCTTGTCCTGTTCCTCGCTCAGCTTATACCTGACACAGCGAGGCGTCACGCACGATTGGGGTCGGCGTTTTTAAGTAGGTATTCTGGTATCCGCCATTACGCATATGTATTGGCTGAAGGCTCAGAGGTAGAGCATTGGAGCGCTAATCCAAAGGCCCGGGGTTCGAATCCCCGTACAGCCCAAATCTTTAACGAGCTTGCAAAAGATGACTGATGTCATCACTGTCAACCGTGGAAGCCGTATGGCTACCCATCTACGCTGGAGTACGAAAAACATCATCTCACAGGTGCGAATTGGAAAAATTTATCAGCCATGCTCGTGTTTGAACTATGAAACGTAAATGAATATGCTACATTGCACTCATTTGATTTTTTTACGATAGTTGTAATTGTAATGCTGCATCTTATCGAGACAAGCGTCATGACACTATCAATTGCTAAAAAATAGCTACTTATAGTTAAAAATATGGGGAAACTATACTGTATGGTGCCATCGTACTATACACTTTTCTATGAGAGTTAGAAACAAACTAAAGAGACAATAAAGAAAATTGTGAGCATGTTTTTAAAACAAATAAATCTAGGAAACTGCATTGGTCGTGATGTGAGGCTGTTGAATTTGTCCTAAGCAAACGATGGTTGGTTGGTTTCTATTGTGAAGATCTGAGGGCCGACTTAGTCTCGGAATCTTTGCAGGGAGCTGAAAAAAACATGCGTATGCACTGTAATGTGATCATTATACCACTTTGTTGTTAAAGCAAGTTTCTATGTAACAATGTGCTGAAATTAAACGATAAGACTTTGGGAAGCAAGAACTAAGAAGTGCCTAGATAAGTTACCAACATAAGGTGACTCAAAATGTGCTGATGGTGAAAAGATGTATTCCAGTTATATGCTCATTTTTCAGCGCAACATTCTAGTGCTTATTAAATCGACGTGCAGCATTTCATATTGTGGGGCCGGGGCAGTTTACCTGAAGCCCACTATGTTTGACAGGTGATTTAGCAGATCCACACTGAAACCCTCGTACCAGGTTTCACCAGTAGTCTCATTGACGTGTTTAAAAACAAATGGATGCTCCTGTACAGAAGAAAGATCATAGCGAATGAATAAATATAGGTAAAGGTGAATTGATTAAGAGAATCCCTAAATGAAAAGCCTCGATGCAGGCTGGGCTATATATTTAGTGTCTGAATCCATCCTCTGGTATTATCAGTCTTCGACTCTCCAGTCCTATTACTCCCATATGAACGGTGGAACCTCGAATGCCAACACAATCGCCGCAGTGAGCCACCGCGTCGGCTGCTGTCAGCGGTATATGTACTGCGCCGGCGAGCACGCGTGTGCTGCGGTACAGTCTACCCTCCCGTGACGACGGACCAAAGCTCTGCGAGCGGCGTGGAGCGGGCGATGCAGGTGGACAACAGAGGACCGCACGGCACGCAATAAGCTCAATGTTGTAGAAAAATGGGGTAGATGTGGATCTGTACAATGTACATTTATCATGTGTTTCAACGTTATCAGATAAACGAGAGAGTTATTACACGCTTGATAATGCCGCAATTACATGTATTGTACATATATGTATTGATGTTAAAGCAACATTTGTTGTCGCTGCTTTTTTGCATTTGTCTTATGCCGCACTACCATGTGTGTATTTTTTTGCAGAGGCGATTGCATCCAACTGAGTCGAATTTGGCAGCATTTTCTGAGCGGAACGAGCTAACGACGCGCCGTCAATGTTATCAGTGCGCCGCATCTGTCTCGGCGCCGAGCGGCTAATGTGGCGCTCCGCCAGTTAGCCTGATCGAAACTATCTCCGGAGTAGCTAATCCGCCGTGAAATCCGCCGAAGGGAGGTGTCAACACGTGCTCTGAAAGTGGCAGATGGGAGAGCGAAAGGGAAAATAATGACAAAAAAGCGGCCAAGTAAAATAGTCTGAAGATAGGTGGTAGGAAATTGGTGAACTAGGATTATGATACCAGAAACCGTAGGAGAAGTTATTGACTATAATATGTAGAAGATCATGTATAAGGTGACCGAGGTGCAAGAAATTATTCATCATAGAATTGACGATACATGAATACGACGAAACGTTGAAAAATAATTTTTAGATAAACGCACGTCACGTTTTTGACGCTATGCTTGATTGTTACAATTTTAACGCCCATTCAAATTAAGTGACTATCCACCTTTACATGAATAGTTTTGAGCTTGGTGTGGGCACTTGCAACATCGATATATGCCTTGGCCGTTAACACCCACCAAACGACTGACGTCTCAACATACATATGTACACCCCCCCTCCCCCTACTTCTCGAGCCGCCTCACCTGGATGGTCGACACGAGCAGCGTGACGTTGGGCAGGTCGGTGCCGTAGAAGGCCGAGCTGTCGGTCACGTTGATGCCCGTCCTGTCACTCCACCAGCCGACCTTCTTCATTCCGGAGGTGGTCAGCTTCATGAGGTCCAGCTTCAGACGGGTGCGGCGTCCGCCGGAGAACTGGATTGGGCCCGTTAGACCCGGCATCTGAACCTGGACACACACAGCGAGATGGTGTGGATAAAAAGCCATCGTATCTCCTCGGGGGGTGAATTCCAATTTACCTACCTCGGTATCGGAGTTAGTGCCCGTTATAAACAAGGGATGGCCGCCCGGCACGTTGGTCAAGAGAGGAGCTGCCTGTTCAATTTCATTATCTACGGTGACGGATATATACATATTGTATAATCGTGGCATGCATAGCACGACTCACTTAAGGTTGAAATAATTCACGACGCTGCAAAGCTTGGACTGTTCCTACCTACTGTGTTAAACATTATTTTATTCTAATCATTCTCTCAATTTCAACGTTACATTGGAAAAATATAAAGAACGACAGAAATCCGTTTCGCGCAGCGTGTATTGTGAGCTTTTACAGAAGCAGGCTGAGAGCACTCCAGCTTTATCAGTCCGCTTTGATATCGGAACTCTCGAGGACTGAGGAGTGGTGTCGGTGTGGAGCTAAAAACATATCGCGAAACTGCTGCAAATGAATTGAAGAAATGTGCCAGCGAGCTGGTGGTGGTGCTAGTTGGCTCTTTATGGTGCACCCACACATCATTGCAGAAAATCTAGATTAATTATATTGTGATCTTGACAATGTGTCGAGTCGAATTTCGGAGTAAACCCCACTTACTATCAGCATTCAGGAGAAAACGCTCTCAGTGAGACTCGAACCCTCGCTCTCCGCTCCCTGTACCACTCACCGCGCTGATGCGTTCGTAGAGCTGCAGGCCGCCGTTCCACGTGTTAAGTAGCTCGCAGGTGACGTTCGGTACCGGCACCCTGCCCGCACCGGTCAGCGCGTGCAATCCGTGGGCAAACGCGTTCACCGCGTCATAGATCAGAGCCGTCTCCGCCTGTGGGAGAGAGAGAGAGAGAGAGAGAGAGAGAGAGAGAGAGAGAGAGAGAGAGAGAGAGAGAGAGAGAGAGAGAGAGAGAGAGAGAGAGAGGTAATGAGAAAGAAAGAAAAAGGGAGGAATAGTAATCATTTGAATAAAGTAATCCAAGTTTCAATGCGTAGACAATTCGCATTCTCATTCATATTCTACATTTTGATACCGTACTCATTCCAAAGCTGAATACATAGAGAGACAACGTGATAAAAAAGCTAAATGTTGATACTATGTTATTTATGCCAAATATTAAGCATACTAAGATTCGCTTGATGATACTACGGCGGTGGGATAACAATGTTATGGTCTCCACCAGATCGTGTTTATGACTGAACAGGCAGGAACATGGCTGATGAGATGAATAAATGCATTGTTCGGCGGCAGAATCCACGCAATAAAGCCGTGACTATGATGATTTGTTATGAGGGGACGTTCCGGATGGAGACATTATAGCATAGACCAAATTGGTGGTCGGGGAGAACAGCGGTGATGTGGTATTGATATTGCTGTTTTACTCGATAGCAGATTAGCATCCAAATCACATACAGTTTGGTAAATGATGTGCGATTAGGCTTCATGCCAGACCAAGGAACTGTTTGGCCTCTATAGGACAAAGACTGTTTCAAAATGTCTAACCTGTATGACATCCAGTGCGGATCACGTGACTTGTTGCAAGCCCAACGAGTCACATGATCTGCACTAACAAAGTCCTAGTTCTCGCATTATGATAAAACGCCAAACATTATCACAAAACACACCGATTCCACGTCAATTATATCTAAAAGTCCCCATCGTAAGACGGATTGTGTTCATGATGTCACTAGAGTGCGGTCATTTCGTCATCATTTAGCGACTGATGCCATCCGCTGCGTCAGCCAACGTCTCCAATTGTGACTGATAGAGGCGATTAGGTATAGATCGGTGGCATCTTCCGTTCGGCGGCTGTCTTCTGCGAGTGACGAATGCGGATATTCGTCGAAAGAGGGCAGCACAATCACGACAAAAGCGCATTTATCTCAGCGCGAAACAGAATGTCGTGATAAATTGTCTGAAGGCAGGACAGGACGAGTCAGATTGTAAATGGGAGTTTTTAATGCCAACAGTGGCCGTTGAGTCTGATGACGAGACTATTTCAGACGGGACGGGGTGATTTCGGAGGTTGCCGTCTCGTCAAAGTCCAGTAAAGGTTGGAAGTGGTGACAATCATATTAGCAGAATGACTACACCAAATGCCATCTTATCACTATGCTGGATCTATATCCTATCTTATTATTACATGGTGGTGGCTATGATCCCCTTGCCGTTTCGCCCCAATTGGGCTAGAGCTTCACGAAAATGGTGCATGACTTGCTACGAGACGCAGCAATTAGTAGCCGCCAATATCTAGTTGCTAGGTCAATCGGTAACCACTGAGAAAAGTAAAAGACGCAAGGGTGGGGGTGCTCAATAGCTTCGGTAGGAATAATAGGGTTGGGACCTATCTGCATGCTCTGTATGTTTTGGTAAAATAAGAAAGCTCAGAATTTTTAATGATTTAATTTAAAATCAATTTGTTAAAAAATGCCTAGTTAGCTCAAAAATTAATTAATTGTGACTGAAAACAACTTGCTTCTGATTGGTCGGGCTAATCATGACGTCACATGTAGGTATATAGCTGTCTGTATATTTGGCGCAGTTGAGGCATACATTTTCTATGTATTTTCCTATGGTAAATCGGAGTGATTGGTCGTTTATTCAGTGTCTCTTTATTTTGCGCTGGTATTGCGTGACTAAGAAGTTTTATCAAGAATGACAAATACTAAAATGTTCCTTTAATAGTGGAGCTTCAATATCTGTGAGTTTTATTGGCAAGCGAAAACTGATTTCGCTGTTATTTTATCTGGAAATTACTCATTTTCTAGGTCAATATTCAAAATATTTTACGAGAACAAGTTGGCACTTCTCTTGATTTTTGCACTCAAATCGCGTGCGATTCAACTGTATTGGAACTTGCAAAGAAGCTTGGTGATTAATTAACTGCGTTGTTATGGCACTGTTTGCAAAGCATGGATAACGAAACTGCCAAAGACTTAGCTACATAGCAATGCCTCAAGTAATACGCAGGAGGGACAGAATTCAGAGTCCGATCGAGAAGAATCGGTGCAAATGCTACGAGGACCAGGCAGCTCTGATACGATGGCTAGTCGTCTCACTCCATTAGACCAGCTGATTCCTGACAGCACCGACTCAGATGCAAAGATGGAGCTCATCTTCCAAGCCAGAAACCAGTTCTTTGATGGAAGATGTGATACTGCCTCTGTCTCTGCTTTGTTGGCCACTTTGGACGGGGCGGAGCTCCGCTTGCGTGAGCGGCTATTCGCCTGTCATCCAGAAATAGTTCCTTCGTTTGCTGGCCGTTCCCTGTTTAGGTGCAATACGGGGAGCTGTAATCAGGGAAGTAACTTTCCATATGAAAGGGGTGCAGGTGCACCCCCGTCCCCCATCCACTAGAAGTGCACCCCCATAGGCTAAGCGGCGCCCCACATGCCGCCCCACACCGATTAGCTCTAGAGAAGATGGCGAGGGTGATTTCCCGGCTACATGCCATCTCGGCGTCGTGATGCTTGTGGGCTTGAAAAATGTCCAGAGGGTAGTGTAGGGGTAGGGTTGAGCTCAATAAGGTCCTTACATTTGAAAGGTTTGAACAACCCGCAATCAGCACAACATACCACAAGTTAAATAAAAAACTACCAAACTCCGCCCAACTAATATTAATAAACATTACAGCCAAACTAATGGTCTAAATAAAAATATATCTCAAATCCTAACAGTTCTCGCGGGTGATGGCGCCATGAGTTGCTATTATCCAAAACAGATGCAAAAACATGTTTGTATGTTATATGTATTTAGGTATGTTTGTTTTAAAAACGTTGCAGCGGCGCTGGGAACTGCAGTCTTAGATCTGGGTATGTTTAGCATCTGCAACTCTTCATATACACATTAACCCTATTTCGGACGGGAGAGGCCTTTCAGGATTTTCTTGTACAATTGTCAAACGCCGCGAGACATTCAGCTCATATTTGGTGACTTTTCCTAAATGCTCATTGCGCACAGCTCAGCAAAAAAAAAAAAAAAAAAAAAATGCCGGGTCAGGTCAGGTCAGGTAACCAGAGCGGGTTTGTTGACCCCACCTCAGAAAAGTTTGCAATCACGTCAGAGCTTGAGTTTTTCACGAAGTTATTTCCTCTCATCAAGTCTTCAAAACAGTACCTGCAGTATGTGTCGTTTGTACATCTCAGAATTTGTTTATCTTTGACCTGAGGTTAGGTCAGAGTCGTGACCTTGACATTGCAAGCCTATGACAAAATATTGAAATGCGACCTGCTTCGAGTAAACGAGTCAAAACCGCCCAATTCTTTAAGAATTATGACAAATTATCTAATCTGCAATGATCCAGGTGCCATTTACTGACAGGGACACCGGAGAGGGTTATCTGAGGGCGAGATCATGTGAGGTGATATCTACCAATTACCATACATCAATGCTCACAATACTTACAATATTGACAATGCTTACAATGCTGTTACAATACTTACGATGAGACCAGCAAGCACTCTGCCGTTACAGTTCAAACTTCTGTTTCGAAAACCGACGTTACACACATTCGCTGCCAGCATAACATGTATTGTTTGACAGTAACAAAATACAATTGACATCTGAGCCCCAAACGGACCGCCATCCACTCAAATTTTATAACCCTGACCGGTCAGCGGTCAGGTCAGCGGGCGAATGGAGGTCATCTCCTGGGCATTACACTCAGCCCTTGCACAAAATATCTCACCTCACAGTGATCATTACATACAATATCTCCGACTTGATAGTGGATTTCAAAGTACTTGCATCAGCTCTTCTTCCTATTGCAGACGATCATCTCCTCAGGGTGATGTTGTTTGGGACATAAACGAAGATCGTTTTCGGAGTTTCATAAGTGCTACTGCAACAGCCTGGCACAAAACAGGACTTGTACGCTTTTCTCTGCACTTTGCCCTTCAGTATATCACAAAATAATTGTTTAGAATCCATCTTACGCTTCTTTCACAGTCTCCCTTGCCACCGTAGGGCGTAGATAGGTTGCTGTTGCTGGTAAGTTAAGGCAGGGTAGATAGAAATTACCTCGGTTCTCAGCGCCTTAATTTATTTTTATGAACAAGAACAAAGCAATTATTAATAAGATTAGAGAAATGTTAAAATTTTAATTGTAAATTAGGCCAAATGCGTATTGGAAAGGCTTTTGCCCTTCAGCATCTTCCGATTCATCATGTTTTTCATTTGATAACTAGATGGCATATTTTGCGCTATAACTGTGCGTTTTGATAGATGCATTTGATGGGGCATTAGTTTGGGTGTGGGAACTTATGATTTTAATTTGTGTTATTTTGTCGGAGTTGGATATTTGTTTGAACGGCATGGTATGCTGGTGCTGGTTGCGGGTTGTTAGAGCCTTTCTCATGGTTTGCCTTTATCGAACTCAAACCCACCCTACCCTACCCATACCCTTCCTTACTCATAACCTACAAATAGTTACCCTTCTCAAACTCGATTAAAGTAACGTACCAAATTTGAGCGCAATCGGCCCAGCCGTTCTTGAGATATAAAACTGGCCCACTGCACGTGCGCACGCGCTAGCTGAGACTCCAGATTACTTGTGCCAGCCACCTTTCTAAATTGTCCCCAACAGTGTACAAAATTTGAGCGAAATCGGCCCAGCCGTTCTTGAGATGTATAAGTGGACCCCTCACGTGCGCACGTGCAATCGATCCACCCTACCTGTCACACATGACCATGCATCGCCAGGTGAGTGCCCCCTCCACCCGCAGTCCAAGTTTTAGCTCAATCGGCCCAGTAGCAGCTGAGTTATTCCTAGTACAAAAATGTGCTGTTTACTGGTAGGCGCTTATTTTCAGTGTTTGGAATTCCCCTTTGCG